GGTGCCCCTGCAGCGGGCCGGCCTTGGCCTGGGGGTTTCCTGGAGGAGCTTCCCTGCAGCCCGGTGCCCCGTCCTGTGGTTCTGCCTGAGGTTCGGTGGTTCTGTTTCTGCCCCCGCTGTCGGTGCCGGCCCGGTGCAGCGGTGGCAGCCGCTCGTTGTCCCGCAGGCGCTGAGCGGGGCGCGGCAGGAGCTCACCGCCGTGCTGCAGCCGCCCCGGCAGGAGCGCATGGAGCCGGGCTGCGCCGCGGGACGCTGACGGCCGCGCACGGAAAGCGAAACCCTGCGGGCGCACGGCGTTCGGGCGAAGCGCTGCGAGGAGCGTCGGGAGAAATAAAGGAGGGGTTCGGATCTCCTGAGTTGGTCCGGGGGTCGCGGCGGTGGGGATGCGGGGCACGGGCTGAAGTGCAGCCCCTCGTGCTGAGCTCTGCGGCGACGGGGCTGTGAGACGCCGGGAGCTCGGAGCTGAACCGCGGGGGGCGATGAGTGCAACCCCCCCCCCCCCCCCCCGGGGTGCACAGCGCTGAGCCGCAGTTCTTAGAAGCAAAGCAGCAATTTCCGCCCGGCTCAAACCTCCGCCTGCAATTACAGCCGGCGCGGGCTGATGAGTGCTTTCCCTTCGTCGTAACCAAACGCTGCTGCGCTCCCATTGCCGTCGGTGCCGCCCGGCCGTCCTGGCCGTCGCACTCTGCACTTTGCGGTCCGTCGGACAAAGGCTTTGGTGCCGCCGAACCTCCGCCCCAAAACCTCCGTTTCCGCCGCTCCCGGATGGGTTGGGACGCGCGGTGCCCGCGGTTCGGGGTGGGGGAAGCCGGAGCGAAGCCCCCCCGCCGCCCTCGGCCATGGCAGTGGGGATGGGAGAGTGGAAGCGCCCCGCTCGGCCCAAACCGCAGTCGCTGCCCGCTGCCGGCCCGGCGGATGTGCTGGAAATAGAGCTGGGAACAGCCGGGGGGGACGGGGGGGCGCGGAGCTCTATAAAGGCGGTTCGGTTCGGGGCGCCGCAGCGGAGCTGCACCATGAAGGCCGCGGTTCTGCTGCTCGTCGTGGCGCTGCTCGCGTTCAGCCTCTGCCACGGCGGTACCGGGGGGCACGGAGCTGAGGGGATGAGGGGGCAGGGGATGGGAATGGGATTGGATGGGGGAAGGCAGGGGATGGGGATGGGGGGTGGAAGGAATGGGGATGGATAGGGGAAGGAACGGACAGGGGATGGGGATGGATAGGGAACGGGATAGGAATGAATGGGGCAAGGGACAGGGATGGATGAAGGAAGGAATGGGGCAGAGGATGGGGCACAGAACAGGGATGGATGGATGGGGCAGGAGATGGGATGGCGTGGGGGAAGGGATGGGCAGGGGATGGGAATGAATGGGGTTAGGGACGGGGAGGGGATGGGGCAGGGAATGGGGATGGCTGGGGGAAGGAATGGGGCAGCGGATGGAGATGGATGGGGCGAGGGATTGGGCGAGGGATGGGGATGGATGGGGGAAGGAATGGGGCAGAGGACGGGGATGGGATTGGATGAGGGAAGGCAGGGGATGGGGACGGGGGGGAAGGGACGGGGCAGGGGATGAGAACGGATGCGGCTGAGGGCTCGGCACCCATCGGCTCCGCTGCTCTCACAGCACCCGACGGCTCCGACGCCCCCAGTGCTAAAGGTGGGTGCCCACGGCACGGTGCCGCTCAGACCCCCCCTCGCCCCCCACTGCGGGGATGGGGTCACCCACCTCCCCCTCCCCCCCGCTCTGTGCCCGCAGCCTTCATCTCCCACCGCGCCAGCGCCGAGATGGTCCGGAGGCAGAAGAGGAATTTCGCCCTCGACGGGTAACGCCAAACCCCTTTTGGGCACGGCGGCCCCCCGGCAGCCCCTCACAACCCCCTGTTTGGGGCCGGGACCCCCCCCAACCCCGCACCCCCCCCCCCAATCCCTCCGCAGCGGCATCGCCGGAGCTCCGAGGGACCCCCTGGAGGCCAAACGCGAGGTGTGCGAGCTGAGCCCCGACTGCGACGAGCTGGCCGACCAGATCGGCTTCCAGGAGGCGTACCGCCGCTTCTATGGCCCCGTCTGAGCCCCCCCACCCCCCGGGGCTCCACACCTCCCCCCCCACCCCCCAGTAACGCTCCATTTCCCCGCGAAGGACGGCCAGAAATAAAGGCACGGTGCAGGGCACGGCGGCTCCTTCCTGGGTTGGGGGTGTGGGGGGGAGGGGGGGCACAGCTTCATCCCCACTGCGGGGGGGGGCGGTTATCGGTCCCTTAATGAACCACTGCTTCGTTAAAGCCTCACTGGTG